GATGACCGGGGGGGGGGGGGGGGGGGGGGGGGGGGGCAAAGTATCCATTTGCCCAATTTTGCAGGAAATTGTGTCCCCCCTGTGCAAAGAGTATTCATTCGCCATCCCCCACTGTGACCGGCAAATGTGTTTGCTGAGCTTTGCTCTAACTTCATGCGTCATCCTTATTCAATTGTTGGGGGGGAAAACATTCCAATTTTAACGGATGTCATATCTCTATCAGTCCTGCAAAGCTTTAAAAGAAAAAAAAGAAAGAGGGAGACGGGTCTTGCCAGCTGCTGACAAACAGGGAACAAGTTCAGTTGTACCCACCAGATGGCAGTGTTGCCCCACGTAGCTGACCAATAACTCGTAATTTTGGACGAATAAAAATGTAACCGAAATTCACTGGATCACTATAATGAATAGGCTTGCTGGGGAATATAATAATATAAATCTTCATTTTCTTTTCCCTTTTTGTGCTGGATATAATGAATATGCTTGCTGGATAGAATCTTGCTATTCTTTGTTTTCTCGAGACGGCAGTTGTTTTTTTCATTCAAGTTTGACATTTACTCTGCAAACCTTTGACAGCATTAGAAATATTGCTGACCCTGCTGCTTCACAAAACTCTCTCTCTCTCTCTCTCTCTCTCTCTCTCTCTCTCTCTCTCTCTCTCTCTCTCTCTCTCTCTCTCTCTCTCTCATATTAGACTGCCTTGATCAACCCCCCCTCTTCACCTGGCGTACTAAACACACCCCAAAGAGTCCAGCACCAAACAAATGCAAACAACAATGTTCACTACATGCTGCACTCCTAAAATTGTGTACTGCACAGCTGAAACTGTTCTTGCTACTTTTTACTAACCATCATAACATCATAACATAGTTTCTGTGCCCCTGCTTTGTCTTACTTCTTAGCATTACCATGAAGGGGAACTGACTGTTCTTCACTTCTTACTATTTCCAGAAATTCGAGGTGATTTAACAATCAAAACATAGTTTCCATGACTCGACTTAGGTGATCAACCATCATAAAAAGATAGTTACGCGACTCTGTGTTAGGTGATTTAATCATCATAACATGGTTTTATGACTCTGCGTTAGGTGATTAACCATCACAACATACTTTATGACTCTACTAAGTTTACTTAGGTGCTTTAACCATCATAAGATGGTTTTTGTGAAAATGGGTTAGGAGTTGATTTAACCATCATAAGATGGTTTCTATGACTCTGGGTTCGGTGCTTTAACCATCATGAGATCGATTCTGTGACTCTGCGTCAGATGACTTAACCATTATCAGATTGTTTCTGTGCCTCTACTAGATCGATTCTGTGACTCTGCGTCAGATGATTTAACCAATATCAGATTGTTTCTGTGACTCTACTTACACAATTTAACCATCATAACATAGCTTCTGTGACTCCGCATTGTCTCCCTTCTTAGCAACCGTTCTTCACTACTACTCAGGTCATTTAGCCTTCATAACATAGTTTCTTGTGCTCCACGTTGCCGTACTTCTTAGCGTCACTTAGCGGTCACAGCATAACATAGTTTCTTGTACTACACGTTGTCATACTTTTACTTCTTAGTATTACCATTCAAGGAAGACTAAAAAAGAATTAACAACATATCCACTCTCAGAGGTAGTAGTGGACATGTGGTTGTATATAAAAACACACGTAAACAACAAAACAACATACTGAAATCTTGTACATACACTGAAGCAGTGCAAGCATGAAGGAGAGGAACCCTGAAAACACTCTAACAGATCAAAGAGGAAAACCCCACACCCATGCAAGATGATGCAATGATAAATTGCATCTCCAAGAACAAGGGAACCGACATGAGAGAGAGAGAGGGAGAGAGAGCCGACCTCTTACTCATGTCCTTCTCCAACATTTTGTGAACTACAAACTGGAGCTCTGCTGAGTATTTCTGAGGGAGAGGAGGAGTCTGTTCACCCACAATCTTCTTCGCCAACGCGATCTATAGCGAAAATTGCCAATGCATGTAAAACACAGAGGGAAAAGAGCAGTATGAACTGTGGATCAGCATTTCCCACATTTCTGTAAGCATGCGAGGAAAAAAAAGAAGGGAAAAACAGCTTCCCTTTACGGCCCCACTGTTGAGTTAGAACAATAGACTCTGCACTTAGCCTGCAGCATATAACCTATACCATCAATAACTGATAATTTAAAAAATTGAGACAAAGCGAGGTACACGTTAGACAAGATTCCTTTTTCAGGAAAAAAAAAAACAAAAGATAGAAACCAAGACTCGTTTCTCTGATCTATTTGTGAAAAATGATTGCTAGACGACACAGAGAATGGCAAACGTTTCTACACACTGCACAGCAATCTTACCCCCTGGCGCCCAGCAGCCCGGCTGTGGCTGCCTGCGCCTCGCTGCACTGCAGCGCCCCACTTCACCTCTACGCGCCCCATCAGTGCCCTTGGCTGCAGTGCAGCATCAGGCAGTAGCGCAGCAGCACTTCCACATTGCTTACGCAGGCCAGAATACCTCCCTGGGCTGCCTTACTTCCTATATGGAAGTGGCAGCCTCCTGGATTGCTGTGTGTGGCCTGGCTGGAAGCTTCCAGTAGCTTCCAGTTGGGCCTCAGTCCCTGCGCCCAGGCCCGAGACTACAGTTAAGGCCCTGGGCCCCATTTACAGTGGGCACAGACTGAGTCTCCGGACTTGGGTTGTTTGCTGCATCTGTGCAGGGATCCCCCATAGGTGCGTCGACAGGACTGCTTTTGCCTAGGCCGAGGGCCTGCTTCTCAATGTATCAGCCCTGCTTTGTGTATGTGCCCAGGCGCAACTGTCAAGGCCTGGGCCAACTGTACGACGCAGCTTAGTGAAGCTTGCGTGTCCATTCAACCAACTGGCGTGCTTCAAGAGCCTGAATACCCACATATGAAAGTGTCGAATTTTGGCCTTTGACGAGTATTCAGGCCCGCCTTCACTTAGGGCGGGCACTTGGCTTGCTGGGGGCCTTTGCCCAGAACATGTGATGTCTGATAGGGCCCCGTGAGGGCTTGTTCCTCGCATTCCTTCCCCCTTCGCTTCGAAAGTCCGCTGAGATGCTTCATGCTGGTGCCTTTCCCTTCAGTTTCTTCTCATATTCTGTCACGACCTGAGGAGCTGTCTTGACAAGTTCCTCCCTTGGAATCCATCGATCTTCCTTAGGATCAGTATGATGCCTGAAATGTACTCTGTACTCTCTTGCAGGTTTAGGAGGTCTACCCCTGCCAGTTGGCTTGGGAACAGGCATGTCTTTGTGGTCCAGGATATCGTCGACATCCATGTGGCCATCCATGGTTGGGGGCAGCATAGATCTCCTTGATGGGAACTGTGCTGTCTCAGCGAAAGGTGCAAGCTTGGAGGCGTGAAAAACAGGGTAAGTGCATAGGTGACCAGGGATACGAATGACATACGAGGGACCATCCAAATCATTCCCCACAATATCTAAGACTTCCCAGGGACCGAAATACTGAGGCATTAGTTTCCTAGAGATGCCAAACTCTTGTCCCAACTCACTAGCCTTGACCCAGACACGTTCCCCTACCCGAATTGTGGACTGTCGGCGATGTTTGTTCTCAGAAGCAATCATGGTTTCCTGAGATTTCTTGAGGTGTTCGACATCTCAATGGTTCCAGGAGTTGTAGCAGTTCGGTTTTCAGGCAGGAGGAAGTCTAGAACAGATCTAGGCTTCCATCCCAGATGCAGTTGATTAGGACTGACAACAGTGGTGCTGTGTACAGCATTGTTGTACAGACTGCCGATGAGAGGTAGTTTCTCATCCCAGTCATCCTGGCTGGACTTGATGTAATGCCTCAGCAGATGCTGCACCACACGGTTCATCTGTTCAGCCTGCCCCTTTGCTTTGGGATGATTCCTAGAAGTCATATGAAGCTGGCTGCCCATCTGTTCAGTGGCCTTCTTCCACATCTCGCTGGTGAAACACATATCTCTATCACTAACGATTGTCTTTGGCAGCCCAGAGCCACACACCCAGTCATCCATGAATGACTTAATGATGTGTTCAGCATTGGCTGTCTCTGGCATGGCAATCATTCTAGCAAACTTAGTGAACCTATCCACTATGATGAAGATGTGCCTCTTGCCATTCTTGCTGGTCGCGAGAGTATCCATGAAGTCCATGCCGATACTTTGCCCTGGGCCAGTAGGAATGGGTGGAGGCTCGAGTAACCCAAGCAGAGCTCGAGTCTGCGGCTTGTCCCGCTGACAGACCTGACAAGTCTGTACGTACTTCTTTGCATCGTCCAGCATGTTAGGCACAAGAATCGCTGTACTAAATTTGCACTAGTCTTCTTGTAGCCAAAATGTCCCATTGCGTCGTGGCACTCACCTAAAAATAAACTGCGCAAAATCTTACTAGATGGAACAACTAACCTCTTAAACCCTGCCTTTTCAAGAAAGAGTAACCCATCCACCATCACAAACTCGTCGGAGGTGGCCTTGTTTTTGGCCTGCAGTTTGTTGATGATGTCCATCGTGATGGGATCTTCCTTGAAGGCTTCCCCCAAAGATCGAGTAACGTCCTCAGACAAGCCAAACTAAAAAATCAGCGCACCTAGGTAGTCTGCCCTTCGAGACAACGCATCCGCAACCTTGTTGTATTCTCCCTTCACATAGCCTAGTTTGAACTCATACTGATCTATGACTTCAATCCAGCGTTTAAGTGCATCAGAGAGAACTGGTTGTGTCTTGATCCACGTCTGCTGGTCAGTTCTCAAGTAGAAGAACCTTCCTAACAGATAGTGCCTCCACTGGACAAGTGCCTTGTAGAGAGCGTAGAGTTCCCTTTCGTAGGTGGACTTTGCCAACTTCTTTGATGGCATCTTTTTACTCATATACTCGACGGTCTCAACGTTTTCCCTTCCTGATGAGCCAACACTGCGCCAATGCCATATTGGCTTGCGTCAGTGGTTACAATGACTGGCCTTTGCGGGTCGGGTACCATGAGAACTTCATGGTGTGTGAGTGCATGCTTCAAACGCTTGAAAGCTGCCTCACACTCGTCGGTCCAGTCCCACGACGTATCAAGTCGAGTTAGATCAGTCAAGAGAGATGCGATCGTGCTATAATTCTTCACGAAATTGCGGTAATAACCACACATTCCCAAGAATGATCTGACCTCAGTCACAGATTGGGGTCGTGGCCAGTCACGTATGCTAGCCACCTTTGCATCTTCGGGCCTAATCCCATCCGCGGATACTTCATGACCCAAGGAATGCGGTTTTGTGCTGGTCCTGGTCTTATGGCAATCTGATGGTAGCCGAATTTTAAGTCTATCTGTGTATGGTACTTACACCTCTGCACCCTATCCAATAGGTTGTCGATGCATGGTAAAGGCTTTGCATTCTTAACGGGGATGGCATTGAGGCCTCTATAATCAATGCACATCCTTAGTGTTCCCCCTTTCTTTGGAACAAATAAGACTGGTGAGCCAAAGGGGGAGGTGCTAGGCCGAATCCATCCCTTCTCTGTGACCTCTTTCAGTTGTCTTCGAAGCTCGTCCAACTCGGTTGGAGCCATCCTATAGATTTTCCCTTTAGGTGTCTTGCTACCTAAGACAATCTCTATGGCATGGACAACCTCCCTGTCTACGATTCTTGTAGGCTCCTCAAACAGATCAGGGTACTTAGCAACGTTGGTCTCTATCTCTGGGGGTGTTTTAACGGCCTCCCCTTTCGCTGATACATAGACTAAGTACATACCTTCCTCTTGGTTTTGTGCTTTTCTTTTTATTATTATTATTATTTTTTTATAAAGCCAGGGTGTTGTAGAGGCCAAGGACCAGACCCGCGGTGATTGCTGGTAGCGGCAGCCAATGGTTGTCCTGACAGGATAGGCCACCTACCCTACCCATCCCCACGTTAATACTCCCAGTGCACCCCCTGCCCATGCTATCCTACCTCAGTGTGACCAGCACTCAGGACCATCACCCTACCAGTATTGAGGGCAACTTGGACCAGATAACAGTGACAAGCACCAGGGTTGGGCCAACCTCCCAACCCTAATGGAAGCGAAAGCAGACGAACCTGGTCGTACGGGAACTTCGGACGCCATGCTCATGCAATCTTCTACACGCCCAATTCAGAGAGTCTACCCAGCAGGATTACCTAAGCAAGGCAGGCCAACGCCCGTAGACACATCCTACTGTCTTTCCCCTAGCTTACCCAAGGCTAGGCGGAACTCAGACTAGCCGGAGCGACTTATCTCCCTACCCTACCGTAGAGGTAAGCCATGCATGGGTAGACCCCGTAATATACCTGATAGACCCCCCCAACCCAGTATCGTAGTTGTCTGTATATGTGTGTGGCCAAAGGCTATGTATGTTAGTATGGGCCCACAGGGCCATGTTTTTGTGTCTGCCCGAAGGCTATGTTTTTGTGTCTGCAAAACCTTCTCGTCCTTGCATTTAAACTGCTGATGGCCGTACTCGCCGCAGTTTATGCAAGCCCCACGCTGCCAACGGTCCCGCCACACTTCTTGATCCAAACCTGCTCTAACCCAAGCAGCTACTTTGTTCAAGTTAGCGGCTTGCCCCTGACTCCTTTGTTGACCGCCCTTGCCGCAGCACCCTGCCTTAGTCTTGACTACTACGGCGAGGTTGCTAAACTCTACACTATCCTCGCCATCTAACTCTGATCCCTCCATAAGCTTAGAAACATCATCGATCTCAGTTTGATTCCCTTCAGAATCAACCGTCATCAATCGACTGCCCTTCTTCTTCCACTCTTGTGGAGCCTTCTTCTTTCTTTCGTCCGTCGGGGGGGTTTGAGCACCACCCAGCGTAGCCTCTAAGTTTAGGGCCTTCTTACTGAATGTCTCAAAGGTGTGATACTCTAGCCAAGCCTCGCTGGCAAGTAAGTTCTTGATGTCTATGGGAAGACATCTCAAGAACATGGTCAACAATGTGAGGAACGATCCCTCACAGAGCCCTACCAGACATCACAT